ATAAAAATAAAATTTTTATATTTTTATAAATATAAAGAATTATAATATTATACAATTAAAATTTCTTTAAATTAAATTGATTTTTGTCATTATTTATAATTATTATAAAAACGTAAGAAATTATGAAATATTAATTATATATTTTATTATGTAAAAAATAATATTTTATAACATATTATTAATAATAATTTTTTTCTTCACATATAGGTAGTGTGTTTTAAAATATTTAATATTTAAAAATGCAAAATATTATAAAATATATTGAACAATGTAATGATATTTGTTATACATCTTATAGAACAGCTGCAAAAATGCAAATTTTACATAAAGAACTTAGTAGTAAGTTTAATATATTTTTATTTTATTTTATTATTACTAATAATTTTATACTTATAAACAATTAATAATAATAATAATATATATTTTTTATAGTGCAATATGTTCAACTAGAATTAATTGCTGGAATTTTTGAACGTCATAGACTTTCAATTACAGAGAATTGTGTTAATTTAGATTCAAGTGAAATTGAAGATGTTCTTTCTGATATTTATTTTGCAGCATGCAAAGAAACTAATACTAATTTTGATATTGATCTTGCATCAAAATTAGCTTTAAATTATATTTTAACTACATTTGATAAGTATGTCACATTATATATATATATGTATATATATATGTTTTACTATTTAAATTAGAATTTAAATAATAAATAATATTTTGTTATTATAAATATTCCAAATATTATAGACAATGTACTAGAACAGTTTCTGTATTTTCTATAAAAGTTGCTTTAATACTAATTAGTTCTGGAAGATTACAAGAAAAGTATGGATATCTTTATCAACAATTAGCTGATCATAATGCATGCTTATCCAAAGTTAGTTTACATACATTATTAACAAATATTTGTAAAATAACGGAAATGCTTGGAGAAAGTGCAGCATATGGCCCACAAAATATTCAATCACATATTGATAAGTGTTTTTCAAAAGTAAAATTATATAATAAATAAACATATATGAATTGTATATAATTTATAATACTTATAATATTTTATCATAGTCTCAAGGATGTCTTGGAGTTACTGAATCAGAGTTTGCAACATGGATTATGCAAGAACCTCCTTTATTGATTTGGATAACAACATTTAATCGTATGAAGTCTGCAGAACATAGTATATATATTTTATATTCTAAAACATTTAATGGTATATTTTGAGAAATTGAAGTAAAAATAATAAATATTATATATTCTTTTATCTAGTTGTACATAATATTAGATGTTCATTTTGTAAAACAACACCAATTCATGGACTACGATATTCATGTCTAAAATGTGCAACATATCATCAATGTCAGCATTGTTTCTTATATGGTAAAATATCAGGAAAACATAAATTAAAACATCCCGTTCGTGAATTTTGTACCAAGGTATATTAATGTGCTTAATTTTTTCTTTTTTTTTTTTTTATATAATACTATTTGCTGTAATATTTTTCCAGACTTCAAATCGAGAAATAACAAAATTAATTATTGAATTAATTAGGAATAAATTGAGATTATGTCCTGGTAGATCTATTGGATTAAATATTGATGATCAAATTCCACATATAAGGTTGTTATATATACAAGTTTAAAATAATGTAATATACGAATTTATTTTCCAATTTCTATTTTTTTTTTTCAAATATCTGTTGTAGTACTGAAATAAAATATACCGATTGTGAATCAGTAAGAAGTACAATTAAAAGACGAGTTTTAAATGATCCACAAAAAGAACTACAAAGTATAATTACTCATTTGGAAGAAGAAAATAGACAATTACAAGTTGAATTGCTTGATATACAGGGTACTAAGGCAGAAAGACTTCAGCGTCATAGAGTTACAATTGAATCGCAATTACAACGTCTAAAATTATTAAAAGTATATTGTCATTTTATAATTAATATCATTTTAGATATCTAATAAAATGACGAAATGTTTTTTATTTTTTTTTATAGAAATGTTTATTTACCGATAGAATTAGTATGCCTCAAGTAATTAATTATATGCAAAGTACACCAATGGTTCCTTCTCTTTCATCACGATTAACATCCTTACCTATAAATTTTGAATTAAGTCCAATTATTCAACAAGAAAATATAGAACATATTTCAAATGTGAATGATACAGATATACAAACAAATAATTTTAATCCATTAACTAGAAATTGTATTAGTGAACAAAATTATGATGTTATTGATTCTAGAGAAGCATCTACAAGTATAAAATTTAATAATATATTAGAACCTACTAAAATAGAATTAAGTACATGGATAGGAGGTATGTTATATGTTGATTTTTTATTATTTTGAAAAATATATCTTTAAAGCATCAATTTAATAGATTATGTATATGAATGAATAAAGTTCACATATTTTTTAACTTCTAAATTTTAGGTACAAAAAGATCAGATATAAATCCATCTGATAGCGGTTTTTCTCAATGGTTAAGTTCTAACAATTCAAATTGCAAAGAAGAAAAATATTCAATAAAAACTATGACTAATACTGAAAAAGAATCATTACCTATATCTGATTCTCTCATAAGTATTCACAGAGATAATACACCATCATCTTTACAAAGACCTGATAAACATTCACAACATAGTAGCTTACAAAATATTCAAGGTGATCTAAATGACATACTAGATAGATTACAAAATATGGTTACAGATGATCGTTTATTAGATGGTAAATTATTATATTTTAAATTATACATGATATTTTTTTATATAATTATTTTTACATAAATTATTGCTTTAGATTCTTATGTTGTTAATGACAATTGCAAATTAAAGCGAGCTACTACAGAAATGGAAGATTTATTAACAGGACTTATTCAAGGTATGGAATCTCGCAAGAATAAGCTTACTACTATTGTATAATTATTAATCATAATTAATATTTTGTAATTCTATCTTAAATATTTACAAAATAAATATTTCCGTCCATATAATTTGAACTCTTGAAATGATAATATGATTTTAATTATTTTCAATATTTTTATATATAATGATATAAATGATATAAAAAAATCTTAGTTATAAAATGATATGAAAAAATAGTAAGAGTTTAAGAATATTTAGTCAATTAATCATGTTATAAGTAAATCATTTTTATTTTTTTAAATGCTAATTATTATTATTATTATTATTCTTATTATTAATAAAATAATGAATGATTATTTTTATTTTTCTATATAATCATTTAATTGAAATTTCAAAGACTATAAAAAAATAAAAATAATCAAAATCTTCAAAAAGTTTTCATTTTAAAAATTATGATTGTATGACATTTATTATGTAATTTTTGATAAATATAATTCTTCCAATTTTTAAAAAATTTTTTTTTAATTTTCAAGACTAACAAAATTATTGAAAATATTCAAGAGCCTTACATAATCTTCAAATTGATATGAATTTTAATAAATTATATATATAATAATTTATAAAATAAATAAAAAAAGTAATGTTCAATTATAGTAATATTGAAGTAATTTTTTATATATATTTATAGAAATATAAATATTAATTTAATTTTTTTATTATTTAATTATTAAAATATTATGATAAACTGTTTAAATTTTATTTTTTCTTTTTTAAATAAAAAGGAAAGGAAATGAATTAATATATTTTAAATATATATAAGATTAATATATTGTTTTCTTTTTATTTATTAATTAAAGCATTTATTAATTAAGCATTGAATTTTTGTTAAAAAGATACATATGATTCATCATTTCAATGAATGGACTAGATCATCATTTATTATATAGTATAAATATAGTATAAAATATGTTCATTTTTAAAACACATAGAACATATATGTAGTATTATATTATATGTTTTTTTCAACCAACAAATGTATCTGTTAAATAAGTAAGTTTAAATAATCGTGCGAAATGTGATTTCTCTGATGGTAAGTTTACTGTCCATGCGATTACACGAACGTCACGATTAGTCCAATCATGTATAACACGTCTAAAATAATATATATAAAAGATATAATATTTTTTACAATAACTATTGTATAAAATTATTTAACATTATGAGATATATAAGATATTTATATGTACATACTGATTTATTATATCTTTATGCAACAACACAGTAGACACACCCACAATATAATACATAAAACGGGAAAACATCCATTCATAAACAAAATCTATTAAACAATACATCAGATGTTGAAATAAATTATTATGATATCTTGCTGGACCTGGACCTTCTGCACCTGAATAAGATATTCTTGAATAATAATAAGGTCTCCATGCAAGACCTCCTACAATTCGAGGTTCTTTTCTTCTAATCTATATTAACATAAAATATAATAATAGAATTTAATATATTAAATACTAATCTTATCAATAATCTTACAATCATAATTATCTTTATTTTACCATATATACAACCAAAGGATTAAAACTGGATACAAGTGCTCTTTCAAATAATTTAGGATATTTGTTATACATTTCTACAATTATATGCACAATTTCCATGTTTAGATCAAATGCTTTTAGATCAAAAATTATTCTTTGTTCATTTAATAAACACATTTCTATACCTTCATGAAGTAATGGAATTTTTTCAATGAAATTTTTATCAAATTTATCTCTAAAAAATATGTAAAAATAATGTAAAAAGATTGAACAAAAATATTATTTTACAATATTTCATTATAAAAAATATATCTATAATGATCTATTTACTTAAGTGGATGATTATAAGAAATATCTAAGTCTTTTAACTCATTCCATGTCATTTTCTTAACAATTCCATGTTTTCCAGTAACTCTATCAATTGTTGAATCATGAAATATTATAGGTACATTATCTTTTGTAAGCCATACATCAAATTCAATTGCAGTACATCCTTTATCTTTGCACTATAAAATATTTTACAATAGATTTTATTTTATTTATAATTTAAATGAAATAAACATAAAAATATATTGTTCTTTTTAAAGTTATAAATTTTTTTGTTAGTAACTACTATTAATTTTCATATTTACATCATAAAATAATATATAATTCTTTTTGTTATAAAATTCTATCTAGAATTACAATTTAGTTAATAAAAAAAACAAATTGATTTGTTATTTTTTCTGGAATAATTGCTAACTAAAAAAAACCATTATAATATATAAGATTTTACATTACGAAAAGCTGTTAAGCTGTTCTCAGGAAAATCATATCCTCCACCACGATGAGCCACCACTCGCATGCAATATTGTTCTCCATTACCATGATCTTTGTTCATGGTATTATTTTTCAGTAACAAAGGATCTACACCAAGCACTTCTTGCACAATGCTTTCCTTTGGTGGTGGAATCCTGGCCATTTTTAGCCCAAGTGTGACAAGGAGAGAAATCCAAAAAATCCATGGTATTGAAAAATGATAAATAATAGATATGAAAATGTTCCAAAAAACTTGTAAAAATATCAACAATAAACTAGTGTTCAAAATTAGTTCAATAACTTTATGCATTCTTTAAAAAAATTTTTAGTCTTGTTAACGTTTTTTAAGAGAAAATATGAGTTAATCAATTTTACAAATACAAAGACTTCAATTATAATACTGTTGCACGACACAATTTATTACTTGAAAATATAATTTTGCACATTCTTGAAGATATTCTCTAAACTTCTTATATATATTTGTATATAGTTATGTATTGTATACGTTATGTATATAGTTATGTATTGTATACGTTTGTTTACGTTACAATATCACAATTTTAGAAACAAATAATTAATTATTCTGAAAAAACATTATTATTAAATAATTATTTAATAATATATATTTTAAATGTAATTATAGTTTATACATACCAATTAATATTTATATTTTTATAAATTAATAATTATAATTATATGATATATTAATCTTATTGTCTTTTATATTATCACGAAAAATGTAGATAATTATTATTTAATTATATTAGTAATACACGAAATTTAATTTAAACTGTAAATTTTTTTAATATAAATATTGTCATAATATAAATTATTAATTTGTATAAAAAGAAACTAAATAACATTAATATGTTTAAAAATTTATAGACTCAATGCACTTACACCTATCTTGTATCCAGACATTGG